CACTATGCACAAAACGATGTCCATGCATGCTTAATAGAAAGTTCATGCATTTTCAATATTAAGAAGGACATTACATCCTATATGAGTAGTTTCATGTTAGAACTGGGCCTAGGTACTAAAACAAATACCCACATGACAGAATTTGACATGATATGTTAAGTCCAAAACATCTAACAATTGCTTCTTCTCTATACAAATAAAAAATGTCCGTGATTCTCAATTTACCTAAAAAATATTACTTGGAATGCGTCTATATACAAATTATAGTTTGCATGTAGACACCAAAAAGGAACAATATGACAACTTCTCATACTGGGTTAGGATTCTTGCATGTCTTGAGACTGTATCCAACCTCCCTACATCTTGAACAATGATAACTTTATTTTATTTTAATCTATAATGAACAATTAATCCAGGTAAATGCCCACATGTAGAAGCCTAATTTTTATTTTACACAACTCAAAGTTCATTTTTACACAACAGATACTCCAACGTCTTTCACAGCAAATTTTCTTCACATTAGGAGTCATATTTTATCAATTCACATGTCAAATTCAATATGAACTAGTCAAACCATCATATTATACACAACTAATCCACTCTAAAACTTTCACAACCAACTTAATGATTTAGCAACCTTTAGCTTATATCAGTAGGTTAGGCTTAAAACAAAATGTACAAGTAGGCAAACAATGTAGAACACAATATCCACAATACACAACACAAGATTCATATATTTTTTAATTGAAAAGCCATACATTCTACTTTATCAGTAGGCATACTTAAAAAATGCTCGAGTTAGATAAATAGTACAAATACAATATCCATTATGCACAATACAAGGTTCATATATTCTCACATGAAAGTCATGTGATTCCAATTTATCATTAGGCTAGGCTTAATAAAATGCACAACTCAACGTTCAATAACTACTCAACGTTTATTTTTTGCACACAAATACTCCAACATTTCTGACAGTAGATTTTTTTCTTATTTTATTGGATCATATCTTGTTTAGTTCACATGTAAAATTCAATATGAACAATTCAACATTATTATTGTATAACAATTAATCTACTCTAAAACTTTCATGGCCAAAATGGTTCAGCAACATTTAGCTCATATCAACAGTCAGGCTTAAACATATGTGTTTCACACAGAGACCTATTACCACTTCAACAATTAAAAGACACACATGTACCAAATCAATAAGGGAGAAACAAAATTAAAAATCCTTACCTATAAACAATGATGATAGAAGCTTCAAAAAACAGATGATGTTGCTTGAATAAGGAAGATGAAAAAGATCAGCAATAGCTGGCGATGTGTAATGCAGGGGAAAATGAGGTAAAGAACTGACTACAATGCACAATATGGGAGGAACAAGGAAGAAGAATGATCGAAGAGGAAGATCCTAACCACCACAGTCCTTCTCCAACAGCAATAAGGGGCAAAGGTCCACAAGTCACCCCCCCAATTGTGACCAACAACAACTCAATGCAAGGAAAGAGAGAAAAAATAATGAACCGTGCTTCGTCTATCAACACCCACGACTTCTACACTCATCCACACCAGCGACGATCAATAATGGCAGAGTGACGACTGATGAAATGAGAAAGAAGACAAGAAAAACAATGAACTATGGTTCATCTGTTTGTTTCTTTGAGGGTTCGCATGGCTTTTTTGATTCAAATTAAACAAACGGCAAAATATATTTTTGATATGAAAAAATATTGTAATTAGGGCCCCAAGGCTTGCAAAGCAATATTAAATTTGTTTAGGTCTTGAATGCAATAAATTTTTTTAAGGTCCTTAATGTCATTTTTTTCAAAATTTAACTGCATGCGTATTCTAAAGTAGCTATAAGTCATTAGCTAAATTAAGACTACAAATCAGCATAGCTATAAGAATGTTGTAACCCTCACCAAGTATTTTTACACGTTTTAATCTCAAAGATCAAGAATCATATTTATTGTAATATTATTGTTCCTAAATCACGTAAAAAAGTCAATGTTTTTAAACACTTCCTATTTCTGTTCTTCAATGTGTGTTTTTTATTTTCATTTTGTTTTTAAAAGCTTAAATTTAAATATATATATTATATACCCTAATAGTAGCGGAGAGCAAGGGGACCAACAGAAGCCGTGGCTCTCCCAATTTTTTTTAATTTTTTTTTTGTATTATATAGATGTTACAACTTTCAACCCCCTAAAATTTATAAAACCTTTATAATATATATATTTTTTAATCTTGACCCTTTATTTTAAAATCTCTTAGCTCCGCCCCTATACCCTAACATGCAGGTGTTAGTTATTCAAAGTTCGAGACAATAATCAACGTTTAAATAAATAAGAAAAATAGCAACTGAAGCATAAAATACAAAGAAATGCTTTTCAAAAATAGATCTACGCAGGGATCTATCTTTTATAAGCTTCCATCCGGGTTACTCAAGTCTTAAAACAGTATGCTCAACGTCTACCTATATGAGATGTTTGATGCTTTACATGCTTGTAATACTCAAAATATTTGAATTATTCCACAATGTACATTCAATTCTTCAATAAACCTAAACAACTAAACAACCACCCCGACTACTGAACAAGGTTTTCCCCATTCTCTAAATCATTCACTAATCAAAACTTAAATGTAGTGTCCTAGTATTTCTTTGCCCCATATAAAACTTAAGAAGGAAAAGAGAACACTTGAGAAAATCCAACTTAAGACTTGTGAAGAAAATTGCATATGTTGGTGAAAATGGCAAACGCACTAGTCACCACAGCAAGGATAATCATTATCAGTGCGATGATTTTGTCCCCTCTGGTCGATATACCTTGAGCATCCCTGCCGTTGAATTGAGAACAAAGAAAATTAGACAAAGCTTCGTAGACGACCCAACCAAATGGGAATGGACTTAGATGAAGAGAGATAGAGATATATACCTCAGGGCAATAGCAGCGGGGAAGATGAAGGCAAGGCTTAACGCAGATGTTGATCCCAAAAGCTGAAAGAAGTACCAAATATCTGGGATTGATATAGCAGCAAGATAGCTGGAGATTAGCAGCACCAGAGTGACGGCCATAAATCTCTTGCTGTCGGTAGCTAGCTGAGACATCTTGGGGAAGAGGAGTTCATCTATGTTGGTTCTCAAAGAAAAGTTCAGGAGAGGGAACACTAGCATAATATGAAATGCATAGCTTAACCGGATCAAGCTATTGAGCACCGAACCAATGGTAGACTTGGCATTCTGATCAAAATTGATAAGAATGTCTGACTTGATTGAATCCCCAAATAAAAGGTAGCCAAATAGGCCTATTGAGAAGTAGATGACTGCGCAAAGCACTATTGCTATTCGAACTGCTGTCATCATTTCAGATGGCTTTGCAAGCTCAAAAGCAATTGGATGGACTGCAAATACAACCAAATGTAAACTCAGAAATTTTCTAGGCATGTAGTGAAGGGGCGGGCAAATTCACAAATGCAAGCCAAGTATATACCATTAAAATGAAATGTAAAAGCTGTGACTATGACCGGAACAGCAGTAAACAGATCAAAGAAAGAAGTCTGCTGGTCCAAATGTGGAATTAGCCTTGGGATATGTGTTTTGCCCGCGAAGAGAGCAGCTATTGCCATCCCAGAACATATACCAACGAATGCCACCGCTAGAACAGTAGATATTGCGGAGCTGAATTTTAAAGACTCTAGCAAAACCAGCCAATGTGACCAAAAAACAAGGCACGTTGTGAGAATTATGCCACAGTCTCTTCATTTGAAATACAAGAAAGCATGCCATGCTCTCAAATCTGATCCCAGACCATAATTTTTAACCCAAGCGTGATATAAGTGTACTGACCTACTCGTCTGTACAAGACCAGTGGAAGCATGACACAAACCAACGTGACAAGTAGAGCAAATTCTCGAGAGTTCCACCAGTGAATTCCAAACCACTGTTGCAATATGCCCAAGTGCACTTCACCTTTTCCAGAGAGCACATCCCTGTTTAGTACATCAAATATTATTTGAACGTCAGGATGAGTTGATATTTAGATATGGGGCAAAGATATCATCCAACCACAATCAAAAAATGAACCTTGGATCAAACATATATTAGATCAATTCTCATCAAAAAATTGAAAGGAAATGAATCATTATAAACAATGACGTTACAATTAAATTTAAATTAATTAAATGCTTTCCACGATTCTCAGGCGGCGTCAAGATCCTGCATTATGATGTTCTATTATCAAATTCAATGGTCCGCATAAATTTACAAACCGTTTATCGGCCTATATAATCTCAACGTCGAAGTATTTTATGCTATACAGCTTTAGGACTGAGAAACAAATTTATGATCTTGTTTTAGTTCATGTCTAAAGTGACGGAATTGAATTTGGGCTCTGTTGACTCCGTGTCTGAAGGAGTTGATAATAGGCCTTAGCTACGAGTTCGTCTACACCTTTGGCTTCGCAGCAGGTCTGCTTTGGACTCATTTCAAGCCTATGGCTTTGATTTTTTTTTTTTTTTTTTTGTGGGGGGGGGGGGGGAGGTCTGCTTTGGAAACGTGCAAGGGTCTGCGGGAACTGAAAACTCTCTTTATTTCTTAATGCTCTTTCCCTTGAAATCTCGCTGAATTGGAGAGGGGAAACAAAAATACTAAAACTGGGTTTAGCTAAAAATGCCGAGATCAAGATCCTCCGAGTTCCAATTCTGACAAAAAGAAAAAAGAACAGCTTCCAATTAGCTACGGTAAATTTATTCTTACCAATAATAATCAAGTACATAATTAAGCATCCATAGTTGGTAATTATGACAAGAATTTGCGTGGCCACTGCGCCCGCCGGCCCGAATGCCTCCCTCATCACGCCGGAGTATGTCGTCTCGCCGGGATGTGTAAACCGCAATAGAAAATCCACAGATACTTCGGCAAGCATAGCGATGATCAAAATCATCACGAAAGCCGGAATCGCACCCACAACCTTTACTGTCGCCGGAATGGACATGATTCCAGCGCCCACTATGGTCGTAGCAACGTTGAACACTGCACCAGTAACCGATGCTGGTTTAGCAGCTCCCTTTCTTTCCGGCAATAGGGGGACGCTCACCCCGGCCGCCGGCGACATGTGGGCGGCGAACTTATGGGGCGTTTTTTCTGGCCGAGGAGTGACTTCGTGTGGTCCAGAGAAGGAAAAATGGAAATGGAATTGTCCCTGGGCCTATGTAAATTTTACATGGCCTTCAAAGGGAAGGAAATAATGAGGACTTTAGCATTATTCAGACGATAAAGGAAGAAAAATACATTTTTGTCTAAACTAATGAATACAAAATGTTATTATCTATGAGGCAATATGCCAATATGGTACGGATAAGATCGGAATCTAAAGTCAGGCGGCTTCATAAAAGTTTTTAGGACGCAGAATACCTGTATAAAAGATTAAATTAAGATTCAATTTTATTTATATATTTATTTTTTAGAAACATTTAATAGTTGACACTTTATAATTTTAAGTGAAATAATTTTTTTAAACTATTTTTTAAAGGAAAAAAACTCTATTCAATTAATCAATTGTTAATTTTTTTTTTGTTGACATGATATGTGCGTGGAACCCACACACAATGACATACTTGCATATCTTTTGGTGCTAATTTATCTATAAATTTTTTTCTAAAAATGCTAAGCACCTTAAAATTTTTTTCTCGAAGCGTTGGACATCTTGAAATCTTATTAACATACACTTTAATAAATATTATTAAAATATTAAATATTTTAATATTTAATAATTTAAATATTACTATTTAAAATGTTACACCTCCCAATTTAATATTTTAATATTTTTGATATTTTACAATTTTGTATTAAAAATGAAGCAAATGAACCTTCAAGTTAATAAAGGAATTTTTTTTCTCATCTCTCTGTTTTTCTCTTGTTAAATAACTTTTTTGTAACATATTAATAAAATAAGCAATATTTTTTAAATAAGTATTTTTGTTGTCACATTATTTGTCCTGATTTATCATGTTTATGATTTTACTATTAACACTATGACATATAGAAAATATTAAATTGGGTGATGCAATATTTTAGAGGAAAATCATTAGTTGATCAAAAAATTAAGGAACTTAACCAATATTAAAAATATAAATAAGTTCCGACACGCACAAAAATGTAATGATTTGGATACAGTATCAAAAAGAAGATCAAAAATTAATATATAAAAATAAGAAGTCATCTATAAATTTATAAAATGCTAACAAAAATAATATAAAAATATTAAATTGGATAGTGTAATATTTTAAATAATAATATTTAAATTATGAAATATTAAAATACTTAATATTTTAACAATATTTATTCAATTTTATTTTAACAAGATTTTAGGGTGTCCAGCGCTTCGAGAAAAAAATTTTCGGATGCTTAACGTTTCTAAAAAAAGTTAAGGAAAAAATTAACATCAAAAGACATGTTATGTTTTACATGTCATTGTGCGTGGACCTCACGCACATGTCATGTCAGTAGAAAATAAAAAAATTAATGGTTGTTTAATGAAAGGGAGTTTTTGTTTTTCGAAAAATAATTTAAGGTAAAATCACCCTACTCAAAAGTATAGGATGCCCAGCGGCCAGCACTCCTAAAAAATAAATACAAAGATAAAATTAAACCTTAATCTAAAAATTAATAACAACTATTAAACACCATAATTAACTTAGAATTACATTAAAATAGACTGTGAATTACCAAACTTGAGAAATAGCCTCTCAAAGATGGTTGAATGATTGAAGAATGCATATTATGTGCGATTATATATATACATACATATATATATATATATAGCACATCAAATAATTTTTGGTGTTGCTACTTTTATTTTTCTCATCCTCTTTACAAGTCATTTTTATCAACTTTATTAATATTAAAATAAAAAAATAAAAATTTGTAAAATTTTAAATATGTCTTCATATAATAAATATAAAAAATGATGCCATGTTATTTTTTTCATGAACTATAATTTTAAAAATATTTTTTAAATTTTGATATGATTTATAGATTGAATTAAATAGACTTTTTGTGAGTGAGACCGGAGGAAGCATCATCATGTAAAAGAAGTCATTTTTTTAATTTTAATAAATAATATATAATAAAGTGGATGAATCTATAAATTAAAATCTTATTATTTTTAGATTAAGAATAAGACGTGAGCGAGGTGACATTGTTCCATACTGCACCGCTCCACCTGGCAACCGTGAAAAAGAATTTTCATAATAAGGTGTGGTTTACTTTTTGGCGAATTTTTGCACGCTTTCGGACTTCTATCCACCCACGCAAGGACACCCAAGACATCAATTTTGACCTAACCTTGTTTTTCATTTTCTCCTGGCTAGTTCCTTTTAATTTGCATTTGTTTCATGAAAAACATGAGTCAGTTGCACCCAACCATGACGGTGACGACTCTGCGTGATGGTGGCCTTCCTTTTATTCTAAACAACTCTAGTGGGAATTGTTCGTCAATAACAATACATTTCCAAACATGTTAATACATAGAATGAAATAATATGTGTTTGATTAATGTTAAAAGATTACAGTGTTAAAAATTACAAGACTGAAAATGAAATTAAAACTATACATATAGATGTGAAAAAATTCAATATTTGGGTCAATGTTTTGCATCTTTTCTTTATGCGACTTAATCCTCCTTTTATAATGTATAAGCTACGACAATTACTCCTATGAAATCTGGAAATTAATTGCACAGTTTATTCACAACACGTTTTGTTATTTAATGGCCAGCTCGTGTTTCCATAATGCTCGTGAATAATGGGCATGTCTTCACCAAATTTGAGGTTTGAGGGCCCATTAAAGTTATAGTTTTATATAACAATGGTATGAATGGTGGCTCTGAGACCTAAGAGGTTCGAAGACTTGTGTTTATGTGATTAAGTTAGTTTTTTAGAATCTGAATTGACCTTTTTATTTAAATTATTTATTGGATCTAACTCTTCAACTAGTTAACTCACTTTTGGTTATGGCTTCTTATACATGACGTTTCAATTTAGCCCAAGCAGAAATATTTTATATTTCCCTCTGATCTCGAGTGTGCTCTTATTGAATTATTAGTCTTGTATCTTCAAGAGTTGCCTATCCCTTTCCTCGCATCGTCTCACGGTTTAAAGCTGCAATTAATGCCGACCTTCACCTTTGGTTGCAAATTACTCGGGAGAACGGCAGTTCCAAAAAAGAAAAAAAATCACTCAAGTTCTTTATAATTTTTTTAAAAAATTAATTATAAATATCAATTTAAACAATTATAAATTTAAAAAATTTAATGGAAAATATGATATTTAAATTTTAAATATAATAATCAGTTTGTAATTTGGATTTTGTTGGGAACTTAATTGTAATTAATTTATACTTTTGAAGTTTTATTGTCATTCTTCCTTATTACTTTGACCATAATATAAGTTAGTATTAATTAAAAAAATTAGTTAAAATTTTAGTTTCCTAAAATTTTCACATCTTTTCAATTATGTTATTGAATATAATAAATGTGACATTTAACTTATTCAAAACATCAACATTATTACTCAATAAAACAAGTGTATAATTAAAAAAATTTAACACACATCAAATATCCTATATTTTGGAAGATAATTAGTAAAGGTAGGCAAGCGGGTATAATCCAATGACCCTTTGGCCACCGAAAAAGTTTGATAGCTACCAAGCTCATTTAATTATACATGGCATATATATATATATATATATATATATATGTGTGTGTGTGTGTGTGTGTGTGTGTCATGACCCAAGCTTTTAAATAACTTATAACACAACCATGTATTATTAATTTTAGAACACACTTGTTATTTTACTTATATTACCTGTTAATTTGATATGATCAATTATAAATTAAGAGTTTTAAAACTTCATACATTGTACTTGTTGAAGTTGGAATGTATTGATGTTTATATTCAAAGCTTGAATAGATACTTGTTGAAGGCTAATTAACAATTATATAATTAAATTTATCTTATTTATTTTTTTAACTTATTAAAACTCAAATAAATTGTTATTAATTTTGAATGAGTTGTTGTAAAAAACTGAATAGATTCTTACCAATCAGGGACTAACACTTTGATACTACTGTCAAATAACAACAAAATTAATAAAAATTATATTTTATAGTGAAGCGTAACTTAGGTTGTCTTTCAAAAAGTCAATATATTGACGACTTGAATTAAAATTATGAAAAGTTAAATAATAGAAAATTTTGTATGAAAAAATTAATTTAAAAAAAACTAAATTGAAATTAAATAATTAAAGCAAATTTAACTAAGAAAATCACCAAGTATAAGCAGTGTAATAATTTTAATTCAATCATCTAAATTTAATCTTCCTCATCTAAAAAATAAATTAAATTTATTTAATATTATTATTTTAATTTTATTATATATTTCTCATATTATCATCCAAGGATTAAATAAAAAATTAAGTTATAAATTAACAACTGTTCTGTGTTAGCCACACCAGAAATAAAGTATGAGCAACACTCAAGTCAAATCAAATTACTCTTATATTACCATATTAATTGATTATAGCAAGCAAAACCTCAAATAAAATATATAATTCAAAAATCATACACTAGAGCTACTCTAATTAGCAATAACAATTAAAGCATGAAATTTAAGATAAAGATAAGAAGAGCAAGTTAGAATAAAGTTAAAATAAATCTTTTCTACAAATCAAATGCTCTAATTATTGCTCAGGATCTTGGTTTGTAATTCATCATACAAAAAAATAATTAACTATTCATAAAATTAAAAAACAAACAGTGTGAAAGCATGAGAAGCCATCGATGAATAGAATTGAAGGAAAGAAGAAGATGAAGGGCAACCACCTCTGTTGTTTCTTTTTCCTCCTATTTCCGCCACCCAATTCTGTTCCCCCTTTCAAGTCAAAAGTCATGCTCAGTGCTCTCTTTATATATAATGTATATAAAAACTTAATACTTTAATAAAATGACAAAATTATCATTAACAGCTATAATTAAAAAGTACACAAAAAACCTAAAATGAATATAAATAAGATTTTTAAAATTTAATTTTTGACTTGATCTTCAAGTTTGTCCATACCCTTCTATCAAAAATAATTTCATCAATTTCCTTTAAATTAAATTTAAAAAATATGCACAAATAAAATAAAATTAAACAGCAAACTTTTAAAAATATTAAGGATATTATTTATATTTTAGAATCAAAGATTTAGATAGTTAAAATTTAAAAATTAAAGATTGACTAATAAAATTAAATAATATTTTATTAAACTCAATTAGTCTCAAATAAATATTTAAAGTCTAAATTAAAAGGATAAAAATACATAAAATTATTATTTATTACACTTGTATAGTTATGCACATTGTATTAGTTTTTATAACATATTAAGACCTAAATAGATTATTGTTAATTTTAAATGTGTTGTTGTTAAAATTAAAATGGATATTTGTTGACGAAGGTCACATTCTATCTCTTTTTTTGACTTGTTAAAATATTATTGTATTATTGTTAATTTTAAATGCATTGTTATAAAAAACCTGAATAGATACATATTATTTATATACCTATACCATTAAACCTATCTTTTCAATTATCAGCAAAAAGTACATATTTTTTTGCCATATATAATTAAATGATTTTAGTGGCTTGGTCCATCGGGACCTTTAGGTAGCATCCTCCCTTGACCATTTTTATCAACTATCCTCAAATGAAAGTATTACTAATAACAATCGACCATGCCAGCGGTAGGTCTCCAATAGCAATTTGGAGGCCGGGCGTTGGTAATAATGAGGCTAACTTTTTTATTTATTTTAAATTTTAAGGACAATTTAATTATTTGACTTAACAAAATTAATTTTACAGAGAATGACAAACAAATATTTTGTAAGAACATTAATATGAAATTAAAATTTTTTAATATTAATATTTTTAAATTTAAGTACTCCTTTTACTTTATTTCAATATCAAAGTTTTCATTAGGGCGCACGGATCCACCCATGAATTCCCGAATACGCAGTAAAATCGGAAGTTTGAACCTGGATTCGACCAGAACCTCTGCGCCTTACTCCTGAATTCTCATATCTCTCTTCTTGGCAGAGAATTAACGCATGCTCCGGTTATCAAGTGATATTAAACAATCCCGACTTAATTGAAAGAAAAAGTAACCGAACCATTGACACTGTTATCTAAGTAGACGCGACGTGAATAACTCTACTGGCGCCCAAATATATTATATCTCTTCGTTGACGTTTCCGGGGATTTGTTCGTTCTTACTTCATTAAGAATTTACAGTTACACATGTAGTTAGTAAAAAAGCTAAAATGACAAATAAATTATATGAATTCCTTTTTCTCACGATCAGAACGTGGAAGGGTGTGCAGTTCAGCCGTACAAGTTGGTCCAAATAGCCAATCCGCTCGTCACAACAGCCAAAATAGCCACCGCAATCGCCATGACTCGATCTTTCGCGGTCGCTATACCATATATATCCCTGCCCTCAAACACACATGCCAAATATTCTAAACAAAGCGGAGCCATCCATATAGCACGCAAAGCGAAATGATGAGCAGTCTTATTTAATTATTTGGACAAATAAAGGTAGCCTAAATCAGTTATCAGTACCTTAAAATGATAGCGGAAGGGAATATGAAGGAGAGGCAAACGATGGTGGTGGAGCCCAAGAACTGAAAGAAATACCATATATTTGGAAGAGCTACGGCTACCACGTAGGTGAAGGCGAGCAAACTCAACGTCAGGCACAGGAATCGAGGAGTGTCGGATGCCAGATCAGGTCGGTTCTCGTCCGAGAACAAGAGCTCATGTATGTTGAGCCTCAAGGAATAATTCATGACGGGAAACACCAGCGCGAGATGGAGTGCATAGCTCAGCCGCACCACATCGTTGAGCAACCTTCCCGCGCGGGCATTGGAACTCTGGTCAAAGTTAACCAGCATGTCCGTCAATATGGAGTCTCCGAACAACAGGTATCCGAAGAATCCAATGGCGAAGTAAATGGCCACGCAGATTATCAATGAAACTCGCACTGCCATCTTCATATCACCAGCTTTCCCAAGCTCTGCTCTGATTGGATGAACTGATCGATGAAGACATAAACCACTCATTTATTAATATTATGTGATATATTATTCGTCATTAACTTGGATGCATACAGATTAATGGGTGTGTATTTGTAAGGAATGTTAATGACAATCCGAAGGTACCGTTGACATGGAAACCAAACCCGGTAACGAAGACAGGGATGGTGGCGAACACATCGAGGATGGACACCTGAGAGAAATCAGGAAAAATTCTCATAGGTTGGGTTTTGCCGAACCACATCCCGTAAAAGGCCATGGACGAGCTTATGGCGACGAACACCAATGCCAGTAGAATTGATATGCCAGAACTGTACCTCAGAGAATCTGTAAAGCATTTAAACGAGATGGTGTAAGACAAATTAATTCAGCAAATAGAAGAAAAAAAGGAAAAGAAGAGGAGGAAAGGTACAGACCAACACGGCGGAGGAGGAGGAGGGGAAGCATGATGAAGAGAGAGAGGAAAAGAAGGACAAAAGGGCGGGAGGTCCACCAGTGAACGCCCAGCCATTCTTGCACGACACCCACGTGCACCTCATCTCCCCCTTTCGACGCATTCCCGCACAGCACGTCTCCTGCCAAGTTGCCATTTACCAATCCTCTTTATCGTGTTTTATCACTAAAAATCATTGTATTAATCATTGTTACTTTAATCCATTTTGGGACATGTGAATGCCGCGCGGTCCTCGGTTGTCGGTCCCCTCCTCATCCCCAATTGACCGCAATCCCATGCCCGTTGATGGGTGCAGCCATCGCAGCGTCAAAGCAAGGTTATCGCGGCCACTGTCCCAACAAAATAAATGGGCTAAAATCCATAAAAATTCTCATTAACTTCAAGGCAGTTACACGTGACTTTATCACTTTTAAATATTTAAAATTAACTCTTTTAATTTTTTTTTTTGGGGTCAAAATCCATTACCGTTTAATACTCTGCTATCTTATTAGTAGAGTTTGCCTTATCAGATTAAAAAAAGACACATAGAAACTTATGTGGTACCTTATTTAAGCAAATAAAAAAAATATAAAAGTTATATTATATTTTTTATAAGAATTAAAATGTCATTTATCTTGTCAAAAGACTATTTTAATTAATAAAAAATAATAAAATTATATTTTTTTCTTAAACTGTGTAAATTGTGATAACAGTGAGCAGAAGTTGAGAACAACGTTGCTTAGCTAAAAAAATAAGAACATCATCATGCATGTTAAAAATAAACATTATAATTTTGCACATCTTAAATTATGTTAAAAATTAATAAAAATATTTTTTTATCTCACATGCTATGTGTATCTCATTAATCTGACATGAAAAATTTTATTAATAATGTAACATATAATTAATTAATGGTAGAGTTTTAAAAAAACAAAATTAAAGATCTAAAAGTTATTTTTAAATATTTAAATATGAGAGGGGTTATATAACTGCCTTAAAATTCAAGAATTTTATGCATTCTAGCAAAATAAAAACAAAGAAATAAACTAAAATATTTTTTTCTTAAAAATAATTATCCCATCCCTCTTTTTTTTTATTTTATTTCACAGAGACCTATGCTCATGATTCAATTCCTAAATAATAAATTAATAATAAGATTTTCTTTATTTTTTGGGTTTTCACTAGAAGGGGAAAAAAAGCGCCCATAGTTGACCGGAAAACGCCGACGTTATGGCATGGACTATGGACCGGTTATTCTTCCTTTTATCTTTCTTTTTTAAAAAAGAAAAAGAAAAAAAATTCCATTTCACTTTTCTCTGCATCTACCCTCTAAAGTCTAAACCAATCAACCAAGTAACCAACAAAGAATTTAACCCGCCTAATTAGCTTGTTGAGATGCCGCAAATCACTTCCAACCCGACACTACGCGGCACTATTTACTTCCAATTACATCAAAATTAAAAGTTCCATGGATAGATATTCTTTGCAGAATTCGAAGGAGGCCTGACTCACCCAGGATGATCAAGTAGATGGTAAGGACGCCTAGATTGGTGATGATGACGCATACTTTCACGGCCAGTGATCCCAGTTTGCCGTAGGACTCGCCCACCATGCCGGCGTACGTGATTGATTTGCCGGAGCCGGTGTACCTCAGCATGAACTCCACCGTGATTTCCGTTGCGAGCGCGACCGAGACGATCATCAAGAACCCCGGAACTATGCCCAGTACCTTCATCGTCGCCGGAATCGACATGATTCCGGCACCGATCATGGTAGTTGAGATGTTGAACACCGCTCCCGGTATTGACCCGTTTTGTGAATTTGAACCTGCCGCCGACTTCTGTGTGTCCGCAAGGAGAGGGACATTGTCTCCGGTGTTGTCTGACTCGAGCTTCATATTCCTATCCTATTAATGGAGACGCGTCGACGAGAAGGTCTTCTGATCTGTTCTGTGCCGGCGGGATCTCTCTTGATATATTATGCCCGCCTGCGCTGTGATCTTACCCTGGGGTTTTGAAGATACATTAAATACAAGCCTCCCATCCTCTGAATGGAGCTCGAAAAAGTATTATATGACAAACAATAATATTTAGATGGTATTGTTTTACCATTGATGTTGATATAGCTAGCATAGTTGTTAATTTATTTTTTGTGTTTTTTCATGCATTTGTATAGACGTTAAGACTAATTATTTTTAAAAAAATATACATGAAAAGGAAACTGATTACTTTATCGTTTATAAATGATAAAATCCAACATGTTTTACCTTTAGGTAATTAAACTTAATAAAATTTGGAAAAAAAAAAGTTATATCATTCATAAATTGTACATAAAATAAATTACAATACATTTTATATGTAATTCTTCTTCATGTGTTCGTAATTAAAACAAAAAAAGTATTTGTCTGGAAACACGGAGCCAATCCTCAAGTGAAAATTGTGAGTGCCCTATATTGTAGTTATACGAATGATGGAGAATAATGCTGGAATCTATTTCAATTATTAACGAGTTATTTCACTTTCCATATTTCCATTCAATATATTATATAGAAGAAACATGCCTAGTATTAAAAAACAAGCCATTTTCTTATATTTTTTCAGTCTATTGTCAGCTTTTACTAAATTTTGTTTTCAAATTAGAAACAATAATACATTTCACTGTATAAAATGCGCAGAGGCAGCCTGTTAAACAAGTATTGTTAGTACAATATATCTGGCAACATATACAATCTTAACCTGTGTTAATTGTCATACAGTTTGATCGAGACAAAAATAAGTTGATTTTCTTGGTATGCAAATTTTCCTTTGAAAGGCGATCTTTTCCCATCTTAAGTAAGGGCCCCCTTTTGCAGGTTTGAGAGAGTGAGAGAAAAGGAAGAGAAATATTTATATTTATATATTCTTTTTTAAGATATATTTATATATTTTAAGTAACGAGAGGATAAGTACAATGACATCGGCGCGGCGCCATCATTATAGATATTGATTGTGTCATTTTCAAGTGGCTGGACCTGGTTCCTGCCTAAGCATTTGATTCAGAGTTATAGTTATAGTATATTGAGTGGTTAATTAACATAAAGCCGACGAAATCTAAACTTAAGGCTCAAATAGTTATAGTTAATTAAACTCAATCAAATGGCAAACTGGGTGCAGTAACAATTCTGGTGAAATTGCTATGTCACTTAAAGCATTCAAGACAAAAACTCCTCATTTTTTCATGGTTTCAAATTCTTAAAAAGTATTTTGACACTCCAGTAGTGGCAGAACTAGGACCCTAGGAGGTGTGGTTTAATTTAAAAATATTAATATTATAAAAATAAATATTTAATAATTTAAAAATAATTATATACATTACAATAATAAAGGTGAAAAACAATTACAAAAAAATTAGTACTTTGTGATTTCATTTTTTAAAATTATATTGTTGAGCAAGAAATAAAAAGTAAATAATGAAAAAAATCATTGTGAACAATTTGGATTTGATTTTGTTAATTAAAAGGTAAATAATGATTTTTTTATGAAGGTTGTCTCATGTATAGTAAGAGTTTAATATTTTGTGTTAAAATTCATCATACTTAAACTAAATTGTTATAGGTTTGGCAAATTTGTAATTAATATATTTAAATCTTAATAAGGAGTTGAGTGATCTCAAATAATTAGTTAAGGATAAAAGTATAAAGTATAAATATATAAGGGGTGATTGTGTAAAATATTAAATCCATCACTATATAGCCAAATTGAAAGGGTGTATTTGCCCCCCCTCAATTAAATGTGGCTCCACCACTGCACCCCAGTGTCTTAAATCTTGATCTAAATATTTCATTAAGAGTTTAGTTGCTTTTTTTGGGTGAATTAGGGTAAGATTTGAAAGTTTTGGTCTTGATTGCCAGCGAACACAAGTTTAACCTAGGTCATCCTCTTGTGGTTGGACAACAAATAGGTGAAATTGTGTTCGCTTGCTAGATGTAAGCTGGTCAAAATGTGAAATTCATTCGTCTACAGATGAAATCTATGAAGGCATAATTGCCTGTAGATGAAAATGCAAATAGCAATTTATAGAGCAAAAATCATGGGTTTTTCATAGGAGAAGCAAGAGCAATGTGAGGAGTGAAGGTTTGAGGTTTTTGGATAAAAGATAATGAGGTTTAAAGCTTTCAAACTCAAATATAAGTTATAGGACTCAGATTTCTCTCCGTCCTCTTCATTTTGATTGGTAGAAATTGGGATTTATTGAGATTATTTTAGTTAATTCTTGTGATTGGAGAGTGTTTCTAGCTCCAAGAGGTGATGTCAAGCCTTTCCTAACTTTATTTGGGGTTTTGATTGATGAATATTTTAGTATTATGGTTAATTGGACAAACCATAAGTTGTTATAAGTGCAGTGTTGAATTTCTAAGCATTCAATGGTTGAGAATTTTGATTAACTGACTTGAGTAACTTGATTATGCTTGTTGGGGAATTATGGTTGGATCAAAGATTATGTTGAATTTTGGTTTTGTGGAATATTTAATCCAATTTTTTTATAATTTTCAACTTAGATGATTGGATAATTGTTTGGCTTGAAAATTTGTTCAATCAAAAACTTGAGGTATTAAAGATGCTATGTTCAGAATTTCATTGGGTTTCCAATTGTTTTAGTTTTAACATTTTGAACTCGAGAATTTCATAAAAATGATCCATTTGGAATTAAGTGGTAAATTTGTCTTAAATGATAGTAAATGGGTGTGAATTGATCAACTGGTTTTGATGAAATAGTTTAAATGATCATGACAATTAGAAGAACAATATTATGATACTGATGTGTGTATGTTGTGTCCTGTGGTTGTTATTTTAGGCCTTGTGGGCATTGTGGGCATTTGAGTAGCAAGAGTTATTACCATTGGATCATGGCGAGGAGATTATTTGGCTGTGTGAAGTGGTTCTGGCTAGCTCTATTATACTTAAAGGGTTGGGGTAACCAAAATTTAATTCTTGTTGTGACATATGCAAGCGAATGTAATTCTTAAATGTACATGGGAATTTATAGAAATTATTATCATTGTACGAATCTTGCTTTTGGTATCAAATTGAATAAATATTGATTGAGTGCAATTTTAATATTTTATGATATATATTATATAAATTTGAAAAAATATATTTAAATATACATATTGATGTTGGCACTTTAGAAAAAGATTGAAATTATATTGTTCTATCAAATGTGATTTAATATTTGAAAAATTAAGAATTTGTACTAAAGTTACTTGGATTCAAAAAGTGGTTTAGAAAACTGATTTGGGCAAATATGTTTATCTACCCATGTATACATTTGATAAAAATATGCTATGATAGGTAACTATAAGGGGATATGAGTGTGATTTGAAATGATTGCACATTGTTTCAATCAAGGTACTGAAAACCGGACCGGTCATTGAACCGGCCAAACTCAGGGGTCAGGGGTCATGGGTTCAACCGGGGGCCAAACCGGAGTCAGACCGGTCATAATAAAATAATATAATTTAAATAAAAAATGTATTAATTCTCAATACGTTCATACATATCCAAGTCTTAATATCTCATATAACATATAACAATAATTCTAACAATAATAAAGTATAACAACATTTCTATATTTTTTTAAAATAAGGTTAACTAAATGATAAAAAAATTTCAATGAGTTAAAATAATAGAAATAAAAATTTATTTTAAAATAAAAGATAATAAATGAAAGTGATATATTTTAAAAATTATTTAATTAAATAATTCAAATTAAAAAATAATATAATATAATATATATTTATACTTTTTGATTTCTTTTTACTTCTTTCATCCCCTTATCTGACATAAGTATATTTTTTTTACCCTATGACTCATATTGACCTATCATTAATCATTATCATGTTAAAAATAAATATATATCTTAATTAATCATTATTAATTTTTTTTTAAATTTCAACCCGCCCAACCCGCCTTAACCGAGGGGTTGGGCGGGTTAATCCCGGGTCACCCGGGTTAACCCGGGTTAACTGAAAATAAAATAAAAAGAAAACCGGACCGGACACATGGCTGGGTCATCGGTTCACCGGTCGGATCGGCTGGTCCGGTCCGATTTTAAAAATAATGGTTTCAATCCATACCCCAGGAGGACTATTGTCTTAAAAATATATTCCATTTTACTTGATACTGAAAAGAAATGATTTGGTATGATAAGAGTAATCCTGTGTACTGGTGATTGGTAATATATTACTGAGTTTTGGGTTCCTTAAATCCACATGGTAATTGTCGATCTCAAAAGGTACATCTTACGGCTGAGGGGATAAGGGGATGATGATGCATGATACCTGCTTCCATAACCACTATCCCTGGCCTAAAAGTGGAGGGATAAAGTAGAAGAAAAAGGTATCCATTGAATTTTTTGTGGTTGGACCATGAAGGAAGATACAAATCTATGGCTTTTAGTTAAATTATTGTGACCTCTAGCCCTAGGCTATAGAAACCGGGAATCATGGGTGCACTCTCTAAATTTTAGTCTTTTAACTATGAAAGAGTGTATTGGGTGTGGTTGTGGATAATAGTTTAGATTTATTATTCCCCTATTGAGCATGGAGACCTTTATTTAATGTATTTGAGATTAATTATTTTATGTACGGGTGGTTATTAGTAATTTTAGTATGCACAAGCATATTGTGAAACTATGCGCATTTTAGCATGCATGTTTAAAAAATTTTCAAGTGAGAGTTATAACTCACTGTTTGTGCTTAGTGATAAGGCTGATTTAACCTAGGCATGCGATCATCATCTTGTACTTTTATGCACATGATTCCTAGCTAAGTGTCTTCTCTGTCTATTGTAAATTATTGGAAACATGACACCCATCTGTTATGACTTGTTGGTTTGAGGAGATGTCATTTGTTATGTCTATAAGATCTGCCTATAGTAGGTTTGGTTGTCACAGAGAAAGTCCCCTCTTCTGTGATAGGTCATTTTTGTTTAGCAACGAGAGTAGAGTTCCTTGGGATAGAATCCTGGTTTGGTCTCAATTATGCATTTAATTTTCAAGTTATATAAATTTTGAATTTGTTTCTAATTAATCATTGTCTTTATTTTGAGGAGTATTACAAAAGCATGTCTTTGCTAGCTTATCCCATGCTCATGTGCCGCCACATATTGCCTATTATTGATATCGACGTTGTGTTTAGTGGAGGAAGGCAAGGGATCACCATTGATATAA